GATGACAGGAGTCTGTTTTGTACTGGAAATCTGAGGTGTACAGAGTGAAAAGGAATGGTGAGAGTACAGTCCCCTGTGGTGCTCCTGAGCTACTGACCACCTGGTCAGACACACAACCCTTCAGTCTCACAAACTGTGGTCTGTTTGTCAGGTAGTCTTTGATCCAGGCGATTGTTGAGTCCTCCACCTGAGTCTTCTGGAGTTTCTGACAAAGCAGATCAGGCTGGATTGTGTTAAATGCACTGGATAAATCAAAGAACATGACTCTCACAGTGCTGTCTGCCTTTTCTAGATGACAGTGAGTTTGCTGAAGCAGGTGTATGATGGCATCTTCAACTCCAAGTCCACGCTGATAAGCAAACTGCAGTGGGTCCTGATATGTGCTTGTTTGTTTAGTCAGGTGGGTCAGCAGAAGTCTCTCTAGGACCTTCATGATGTGGGATGTCAGGGCAACAGGTCTATAGTCATTGAGGACTGATGGGTGAGGTTTCTTTGGCACTGGAACAAGACAGGATGTTTTCCACAACACTGGAACCTTCTCCTGGGTCAGGCTAAGGTTGAAGAGGTGCTGCAGAACCCCACAGAGCTGCTCTGCACAGACCTTCAGGACTCTGGGACTGACACCATCTGGACCTGCAGCCTTATTCCAGTTCAGTCTCTCCAGCTGCTTCTTCACCTGACTTCTGGAGACGCAGAGGGAGGAGGCAAAGGAGGTATCAGCATCTTCTGATTTAGTTGAAGACCAATAAGTAGAAGAAGGGTCCATGACTGAGGTGGTAGATACAATATTTGAGGTGTGACAGGACAGCCTTGGGTCAGTGGAGGGTGGTATGTATGTTTGGCTGTGGGCAAGAGAGGAGGATGCTGAGCTTGTTCCTGAACTGAACCTATTGAAGAATGTGTTCAGTTCATTGGCTCTGTCCAGGCTTCCATCCTTCTGATCCTCCTTCTGCTTGAAGCCTGTGATCTGTTTCATCCCTGACCACACCTCTCTGATATTGTTCTGTTGGAGCTTGCTCTCCAGCTTCTTCTTGTACACCTGCTTGCTGTTTCTGTAAGGATGGTACCTTTTGGTGGCCCGGTTTGTGTCTGTGTTCCCTAGTGTTTTCTCTTTAGTTCAATTGGTGCCACCCTTGTCTCGTCACAGCTGTTTGTAATCACGTCTCGTCTTGTCCCTGTATATAAGCCGTCTGTTCAGTCTTGTTCTTTGTCGCGTCGTCTTCGTTGGGTCCCTGTGTTTTCCTGAGTCCTCTGAGTTTCCTGAGTCCCTCTGAACTTCCCGTGCCTTCATCCTGTTTTGTAAGTTGTGCTGCCTCGTCAGCCTGTTATTTTGTATTTTTTATTTATCATTAAATATCTAATTTTGTATTCCTGCCGAGTTGAGTCCCTGTCTGCACTACTGGGTTCGTCCCTGACCCGAAAATCCTGACAGTTTCTGATCTTGACTTTTAGTGTTTCTGTGTGCTCCTCAATAATTCCCTGTCTCCCTCCCTGAATGCTCTTTTTTTCTGGTTTAGCAGTTCCTTCAGGTCAGTGGTAATCCAGGGTTTGTTACTGGGGAAGCATCTCACTGTTCTGGTGGGGATGATGTTGTTTACACAGAAGTTTATATAGTCGGTCACACACTCAGTCATGGCATTGATGTCCTCTCCATGTGGCTGGTACAGTGGATCCCAGTCTGTAGCCTCAAAACAACCTTGCAGGGCTTCT